GGTTCCTCCTGGTTTTTCAATCAAATCCCACCTGCTCCTCTTGCTTTTTTTTTTTTTTTTTCCCCTGGAAAATGAAAGTTCCTCATGGGGGAAAGATCTGGGAATGTTGTTTCCCATCCTTGTCCAGAGAAAGCGGAAATGAGGAGGGAACGGGGACACAACAACTTTATCCCAAAGCTGTAAAATCTGTTCAGATCCCTTTTCCCCCCTTTCCTTGCCCCTCTGGAGCTGGTGGGGTGGGATGAGGATGTTCTCTGGAATTTCCATTCCCTGGCTGATGTCCCAGCCACGAAAGCCAACCCTGAACATCCCTGGGGAGCTCACGTTCATCCCTGTTTATGGGCCTCATTTTTGGTAATAACAGGGTCCTTTCTGTGCGACTTCCCTGGCAGCGGCTCAAAAAGCAGCTCCAGGCAAATGGATTCCTTGGGATTGAGGGCACTCCGTGGGCCCAAGGCAAGGAATGTTGGGATCTGCTGGGAGAATGGCAGGGAATCGCTGGGAAGGAGAGAGGGAGTGCAAGAGAAAGAAGGGAAAATGGAAAATATCCCGATTCGGGAATGGTTTGGGTAGGAAGGACCTTAAAGCTCATCCCGTTCCACCCCTTTCCAGGGCAGGGACACCTTTCTCTAYCCCAGGGTTCTCCAAGCCCTGTCCAGCCTGGCCTTGGACACTTCCAGGGATTRGGAATCTATGATTTACACTCAGCACGTGCCCTTTATCCTGGAGAACTGATTTTCATGGTGCTTTTCCAGGGATCTCTCCAAAACGATGAAGGCTGGAGTGGGATAATAGGCAAGGACATTGGATAAAGGGGAGTGGCTTTAAGCTGATGGAAGGAAAATTTAGATGGGATAGTGGGAAGGAATTCCTGGCTGGGAGTGGGGGAGGGACTGGAATGGTTTCCCAGAGAAGCTGTGGCTGCCCTGGAAAAGTCAGGGCCAGGCATGGAAAACCAGATTTGAAACCATTCTGCTCCTGGATCTGCAGCTTGGCTGGGGTTGGTGGGAATCTACGGTGCTCCATGCTGGAAAAACTCGCACTTTTCCTGCCAAATACCCAGGATGGAGCAGGGAATGGCAGGAATTCAGGGTTGGGAGCTGGCGCAGGTGGTGCTGAGCTGGCCTGTCCCTCATCCCATCATCCCTCAGATGTCACATTCCTTTTAAAATCAGAGCTTCTGAACCCCAGGATGMGACATTCCATGGGAATGGGAGAAAAGAGTGGGAAAGGAGGAGACCCAAAAGGCTCCCAATAGAAAGGGATTGAAGAAAAAGAGGGAAAAACGTTGATG